CTATGTTTATCTTGATGGATCACTTATTTCATGGGCTTCTAAGAAGTGGAAAGTGGTGTCTTGGTCAAGTAATAAGTTTTGAGTATAGAGCATTGGCTAATGGTGTTTCTAAATTATAGTGGATCTGTTCTCTTATGTCTAAGCTTGGTATTCATCCTCGTATAGATCTTTTATTATGTGTTGTGATAATATAAGTGCCAAAGCTTTGGCTACAAGTCAAATTCATTATACTCAGAGCAAACATATAGAGATAGATATCCATTTTGTTCGAGATCAAGTTCTTGCAGGTGTTCTTGATATTCAATATGTTCCTTCATCTCATCAAATAGCTAATTGTTTGACTAAGGCTCTAACTCATTCATGGTTCTCCGCTTTCAAAGCAAACTTAGGCAATTTGTCACACCCTCACATTTGAGGGGGGATGTTAGAGCACAATCATAATTTTGATTATATAATTAATATTTTCATGTGTAGATCATTCTTTGCAGTACATGTTTGTTATGATTTTATAGATATTTCCTCATTTGTATGACTGTACATGTGTCAACACATCATTGTATATTGTATGACAGAATGTACTATATAATGACAAATATATAAAGCCTTGCTAGGATTATCTTTTGCTGGCTATTCACTGATATCATTTTCCCTCCTTTCTCAATCTATAGTAAGGGTACGCAATGCAAGTTTATGCTGCCTAAAAAACTAGTGGTAAAGAAAAGCATTGACCATAATACAATGTTAAAGATGTTGCAGAAGGCTTGGAATATTAAAGAAGGAATTGAAATGTTGAAAATTTGAGAGAATTTATTCTTATTCAATGTTCTAAAGTTTGACGAAGGTAGGCAAACCCTACAAGGTAAACCTTGGTTTGTGCAAGTTCATTTGCTTTACTTGCAAGAAAGAGGTCAATATGCTATCATTCATGAGAATGATCTTGATAATTGTCTATATTGGATCCAATTACACAATGTGCCTCTTGAAGCTATGAGTCTAAAGAATGCAATAACTTTAGGAGAAAAATTTGGTAGACTTGTGCTAGCTAAAGATCTTAATTTAGAGTGATAAGATGATAAGGAGCTTCTTGAGAGTCTAAGTAGTAGCAATAATTCATTGTTCTCTTATTGCTAGTTTATGAATGAAGCATCTTGATGGTAGAAGATTGTGGGCTAAGGTGAAATATGAGAAGCTTTCGAGTCTGTGTTACAAATTACAAATGTAGCCAAATGGATTGAATCATGAATTTAGTTAGATCTTATAGTATCGAAAGGATGAGATCTAAATGTAATCCAAATGAACCTCGTTTAGATTCGTGACTAGTTACTAATTAGGTTAGGAGTTAGGAGGAAGTTTTGACAATTAAGATTATATAACATCCTGGATTTCAACTTTGAAACTTTTCCAATGTTTATAAGGGTATTTTAGTCAAATTAAGTGAATTTTTGATTAATGATATTTGAATTTTGGTTTGGTAGTAGTATGGTAATAATATGAAATTATGATTTTGAATTTACATGAAGTGGAATGAAAAGTTATTTTAATGTTTTAGTGTTTGAAAAGTTAAATACTATTTTTATTTATGACTACTTACGAAACTATATGATTTAAGTGGAAATGAGAAAATTGTGATAATTTATATGTTATGATTATGTGTTGGAGCATTGAGTATGTTTGGCATAATCATTGTGAGAGGGTGAGAGTTCACTCTAGTGTGTTGTTGGGACATTATTTGAAAATTTATATGATACGCTAGCACCATGGAGGCCTCGGTATTCAGTATTATATTGTTTGAAAGTCTCAATACTATGTGAGGTAGACTGAGCATCAACACCCCTAATATTCATGGACAGGGGGAATTTGTGGTCCATAGTAGGCGAAAGTGCTCTTGGATAGGGCTGCCTCCTACTAATGGTGAGCTTAAGCCAATTCAGTCACATAAACTTGATCCTATCAAATCGTCAGCCCACAAATTCAATTGAAAGACATAAGTAGGGTATACGGTAGTGTGTAAATCATGCATATCATACTGTATTCATATGTGTGGATTCATATGACTTGTTACATGTTTTATAATGCCACTTCACATATGCATAAACTATTCTCACACACAAGTAGTTGATTAGACTATTTGATTACTGAGTCTTCGACTCACCTCGTGGTTATATTTTCAAGTAAAGGCTCTAATAGGGGCAAGGAAAAGGAAGGTACAACTGAGTATTGAGGGAACTAGGTAGTGATTATATAGTCCCTTTCATTTACTTTGGTTTGTAATGAATATTGTATGCATATGCCAACTTAGGACATATATATTATTTTGTAACGCACTTGCATGATTCCTATTATAAAATGTAGGTATCTCAACTTGGGATGTGTTAATTGTGCTGTATTGGCTTTAAAAGGTCAAGATACTAGTGTAAGTGTTAGTTCTGCATTAATTCATATGTGAGAGTGGCCATTAGATTGATTATGTCAGGATGTTACCCCTTGTAAAATTTATGTTGAAATTGGGGTTTTGGTGGCCAAATCTTGTCTAGACTACTATTATTGTGGTTTTAATGTTTGAACAGGTTGTTTGGGGGTTATTTGAGTTGGTTCGAGTAGTTCTACAATTATTGACACTTAATTTGGGAGTTTGGGCACTTTAGTAATGGTTTTTGAGAGAAAAAGTATCATTTTAGGTTTGGGTGTCCAAATCTCATTTGACTTAGTGTATGGATATAAGACTGATGCCAAAAGTTAGGTGACTTTAAGAGTTACATGTAGACGCTTGAATCGGACTTTGGATGGTGAAATGGCACGTTTCGAAAGTTGGCCTAGTGAGCTATCATAACAGTAATTTGCTGTCATGACAGGGGACGCGTGACACTATTCGAGGCACAAAGAGGGATGTTTTCTATGCAGTCCACCACAGCAGACAATGCACTATGCTGCGGTGTACTGTGCCCTGTTATTGAGAAGTTGTTCCCTTCTACTCATTATTTATGTGATGAATTTTCATACTTTCGTTGTCTTGTTTATTTGTTTTTGAAATCATAGTTTGAGCTCAAATAATCTGTTAAAAAAGATTTTTTCAGGATTCCATTTTCTTAAATATTCTTTTAACCCTTGTATTATCATAACAGTGTTTTATATTTGGTGTCCTATGTATTTAGTAATGTTAAGGATGACGTTAGAGATTGACAGTGGTTTGTTTAGATTGATATTTATTAACTTTAAGAATTTTACTTTTTAAATTGATTGAGAATAATTTTGATAAGTTATAATTTTTTTAAGAATTAATTAATTTTAAATAATTTTCTTAATTGATGTACAGTACTACTAATTATCAAGTTCTCAAGACTTCAATATACTCTCTACATTAAAAATGTAAGGCATTTTTATATTTTAAGGCGCAATTAATATATTTTTTTTCAAAAATGTCCTTAATAAATGAATCATTTATATTTATTTTTAAGTAAAACATTCTATTAAATAAAAATAAATATAAAAAGATGGTGTTAGTTTGAAAATAATTAACTAATTTATTGAGATACAAAATTAGATTAAAAATATTTTATATTTTTTATTGGAGAGTAAGAGCTTTAACCAATCATATGAGTAATACTCTTAATTTTTATAAGCCACATTCTAAAATTTTTTTTTTGAGCCTTTATATAAATAACTTTTTCTTGATTTTTGTAATCTTTGATATACAATTCCAAAAATACCTTTCAACAAATTTAAAAAGAAGTAAAATATTTTAATATTCAAGAAAATCCTTCCCACACATTAAATTACTTTTTAAAATGTAGAGACAAAATTAGAAAGTGATTTATTTTTAAAATAATTTTATCATTTTAACTAACCTATGTTACTTTTAAGTAGTTAAAAATAACTTATACTCCCTTTAATTCAAAATACAAGCATTTTTTTCTAACCAATTTTGGTTCAAAATATAAACAACTTAGTATATGTAAAAAAAAATCATTTTTCCCTTGTATTTATTAATGTAAATAAATCTCTTACTTATTATAAAATGCATTGATAATTAAAACTAAGGATAAAAGTGAAAACCAATATATATTTTTATAATAATGATAATTTTATTGGTTTGCGAATTTTAAAAAAAAAAACTGTTCATATTTTGAACTCAATAGAGTTACAAGGACTGGAAAGAATAATATTACCACTTATTTTTCAAACTCAAACTTTTCAGTTTTCACGGACTCATACTAGTTTTAAACACTTGGAGAGCAAAACTATCAGACAAAAGATCCGCATGGGCGGTAAAGACACAGACAAACACACGCGAGCATCAGAAATAATGAGCGCGCCAAATTATATTTGTTACTTAGCAGTTAGCACTTAACACAACTCTGTACTGTACTGCCAAACTAACGTCACACAACCAAACCCCATCTTTCATCCTTCTTTACAACAAATTCAATTCACCTTTTCCTTTCTTCCCACGCCAAGGTTGAAGTATATCACAAAAACCACCATAAACCAGGACAAGAACCTTGTGGCAAGATTCCATTTCTGGGTTTAATCCCAAAAGGCTTCTCAAAAAAGAATTTAAAAAATAAATATCAGTACCATCATTAACCGTAAAGTCATTGCCCATAAGGATATATATCTATATATATATATATATAAATGATATCCCAGACAGGGGTAGTAATCAGCACAAACCGATGGAACTTGCAATTTAATGAGCAGGGCCATGTGAGAATGAGCCCACCTAACAACCCCATTAAATCAGCTTACTATATAGCTGTACCCAGCACATACCCGAAGCACTGTGAAAGGTTAAATCCTCAACCACAGAACATTCAAAAGCATTTATGTGGGAAAGTCCCAGAGTGTATGTATGCATGATTCATCAGTAAGTTCGTTCCTATGCTTGGGGAATTCCAGTACGTGAAAGTAATTCATGTTTTCTACAGTGAAGACCCTATTTTGATGCAACTGGTTCTACAATATGCACTATGAAGTACCTAGTGAACAGAGCCTCAGACAGATTGAATCTTTCAAAACAGTGAAAATATATATATTATATATCATTTCTAGCAGTAGTCATGCAAACACTCATTTAAATATGGACCTATTTTACAGTGTGAGAATAAGAAAATCCAAGAAAGTAAATTAATTAAGTCCCCCCAAAAAAAGGTTTCATATCTTTTTTTCTTTTCAAGTTCTGTGAGGCAAACCCGTGACTGGAAAAAAACTTGGAGGGATGTTATGTAGGCTCTCTACATGTAAAAAGAAAAGGCTTGCAGGCGGCAGCTTTTTTTCTCCTTCACAACCAAAATAGCACTTGACAAGAAGTTGAACTAAGCTACACTTCCATGATCAGAGCCATCATCGTAGTAATATGGTGACAACTTGCCATCTTTTTTTGATGCCTTTGTTTGATTGCTGTCCGTGCCTGCTTCTTGCAACATCTTCACCACCCTTCTCATGGCAGGGCGGTTGATTGGAAGTGGGCTAGTGCACATGAGGCCGATGTTGAGGACCTTGCAAATCTCTTCTTTGAAACAAGAATCAAGTCTGGAGTCAAGTACATGATCCACACCTTTCTGATCTATGGTGGTGCAGACCCACTTAACCAAGTCTTTTTCCCCGAATTCTGGGTCTACTGGGCGCCTTCCGGTAACTAACTCAAGTATGACAACGCCAAAACTATATATGTCACTCTTCTCATTCACTCTGAGAGTATATGCATATTCTGTTCCAGAAACCAGACAAACAATTTTAGACTCCAAAGTGAGACAAATCATGCAAAACATAATCAAGTATGCTAATTATATTTAGTGAATGGATACGTAACAGGAAGTTGAAGTTCTAAATAATGCAAACACAACATGAGATGTACTAAACAAAATTATGCATTTTGGATTCATTAAATCAAATACTGTAAAAATACTAATCAATAAACATAACATGAAAGTTTTGTTAACTAACCTGGTGCAATGTACCCACATGACCCAGCTATGGCGGACATGGATTTAGCTCCCTTTGCAGTGGTTTCAACCACCTTAGCTACACCAAAATCAGCCACCCTTGCACCAAAGTCACCATCCAACAAGATATTGTTGGATTTTACGTCTCTATGAACAATTGGAGGAACACAGTCATGATGCAGATATGAGAGGCCTTCTGCAGAATCAACCGCTATCTTATACCTCGTCGGCCAATCCAATAACCCTCCTTTACTACTATGCAGCAAATCTCCGAGACTTCCATTAGGCATGTACTCATACACCAATAGCTTGCAGTCCCTGGTAGTACAGCAACACCACAACTTAACAATGTTCTTATGCCTGATTTTGCCTAGAGTCTCAACCTCTGCATCGAAAGCATTGTCTTGAACCTGACCTTTTTCAAAATCACCACTCTCGATGTCCTTCACGACACCTCCCCATAGTTTCTTCACAGCAACTGCCTCCCCATTGCTAAGTACAACCTTGTAAACTTTCCCTGATGATCCACTTCCTATCACATTGTCATCATCAAGGCAGTTCAGAATCTCGTCTTCGCCGAAACCCAGTTTATGGAACGACATCAATGTCCATTTTGATTTATCAATGGCTCTTCTTGCGTTCTTGAAGTTCCTATACTTGAAATAGAACCAGACCACACCGATGAGAAGCACCAAAGTGGCCACAATGAACATGGCTCGAAGCAACCAAATATAACCTGCATTTTTAACTTCGTCACTTCCATCACATAGGCCCTTCAAATCCCCACACAAACCAGGATTACCCAAAAAGCTAGTCCTGTACATATCCTTGGCCAACTGAGGGGGAAGCTCTCCAGAAAGTCGATTATAAGACAAATTCAGCTGATTAAGCTTCAAATTCTGTAAACCACGAGGAACTTTCCCTGAAAGTTGATTGTGGGAAAGATCAAGGAAATTAAGCACGGACAAACTCCCAATTTCATCAGGAATATTGCCATTAATATCATTGTTCGCCAAATTCAACTCATTGAGTTTCTTCAAAGATCGCACTCCCTTTGGGAGCTGGCCAGAGAGTTTATTGTTGTGAAGATCAAGAGTTCCAAGTTGCCCAAGATTCACAATACTATCAGGCAGCGATCCACTAAAGTTGTTATCACTTCCAGAAAATTCCTCAAGATTTTCCAACCATCCAATCTCATCAGGGATCGCTCCGCTGAAATTGTTCTTCGATAGAATCAATGATGACAGATTCCCAGCTCCAGCAATGGTTGTAGAAATTGGACCCGACAAGGAGTTATCCACGAGCTCCAGAAGATATACATGAGGAAGCCCCCATATACCCGCCGGAACTTCGCCGGACAACCGGTTGTAACCGAGCCTGACTCGTGTCAAGCTCTGACACATCCCAAACTCGCCGGGATCTCGCCAGAAAACAAATTGTATATCATAAGAAGCTCCTCCAACTGCCCCTGGTCACACAAACTAGCCGGAATTCCTCCCCAGAATTGATTTGTCGACAGGTCAATCCACCGTAACGGAGAATTTTTCCCCAGACTCGCCGGAAGCTTACCGGTGAGCCTGTTCCCGAACAATCTCAGTTCATAGAGATTAGGAGAGTCCGCTATGCTCTTCGGCAACTCACCCTCGAAACGATTTTCGTAGAGATTGAGGCTTTCCAGAGGCAAACGACACAAGTCGTCCGGAATCGTCCCCGTCAAGTGGTTCATTGACGCGTCGAGCAGCCTCAATGCAGTGAGGTTCGACCATCCCCGAGGCAACTCACCGGACAATGAGTTATTATACAGTTCAATCTGGTTCAAACTCGTCATCTCCATCAACGAACTCGGGATCGAACCGTACAAATTATTGAACGCCAGGTCCAAATCCTTCAGCTTCTTCAACTTCCCGAGTGAGTCAGGAATCGTGCCAACCAAGTTACATTGCGTTAACCAAAGCACCTCCAGATTAGTAAGATTCCCGATCTCCGGCGGGATCCGACCCGGGTAAAACGGGTTATAAGAAAGATTGAGCATCTTCAATGTGGTGATATTGCCCAGAGAAGCGGGAATGGTACCTTCAAAAAGATTAGACACGAGAGAAATAACCTCAAGCTTCTGGAAGCTCCCGAAGGAGTCAGGAATAGGACCCGAGAAATTGTTTCCGGTCAAGTCGAGATACCTGAGATTGGGAAGCAGAGACAGAGTGTGTGGGAGTTCACCGGTGAGGAGGTTCTGAGAGAGGTCAAGGTGAACGAGGGAACGACAAGAGGAGATTCCTGAAGGGAGTGTCTGGTTAACAGAGTTGTTGAAGAGGGAAACGAAGGAGAGGTTGGGGAGGCGGCAGAGGATGGAAGCGGAGAATGGACCGGCGACGTTGGTATTGGAAAGGTCGAGTTGAGTGACGGAGGAGCTGGAGTTATCGCAGGTGACGCCGGACCAAGCACATGGGGTGACGTGTCGGGGGTTCCAGGAGGAGAGAGAGCCATCAGGGTCGTCAAGAGAGAGCTTGAACTGGTAAAGGTAGAGACCCTCCTGGTTGAGAGAGAGAATGGAAGGAAGAAGGAGGAGGAGGAGAGACAGAGGAAGAAGAAGTGCGGACATAGCTGCTCTGCTTCTGGAGAACAGAGTGAGGGAATAAGAGTGAAGAGAGTGTGAGGCTTTAAACACACATAGAGGGAGAGAGAAGGGTATGATATGAGTACTTCACTGCACGCACCCAAAGAGTGGCGACGACAGCGAGAGTGAGGAAGGGGAGAGCAGAGTAGTGAAAAACGTTGACACAATCATAATGCTTTCTTGTATTTCAGAAAACTGTAAAACTTGTGTCTATGGTCTTCCCTACTGCAGTTGGATTTTTTTATCAGTTAAAGTAATGGCAGTTTTGATCTGATCTAGGCATGTGAAAACAACTTTTTTCTTTGGGGTTAAAATATCAATAAACATCCTTGTATTAAAAATAATGATGTCAATGAACATCCAGGATTGTTAACAAATAATAAACAGTAATCTTTCTACTTAAAAATATAAAATATTTTTTATCTAATTTTACTCTTTCTTGTATTTAAATTAATTTTATTTTTTATATTTATTTTTATTTAATAAAATATTTTATTTTTAAAAAAAATATAAAGTGATTTATTTAATAGAAACACTTTAAAAAAGATAATAGTTACACCTTAAAAAATTAAAAATATGCTTTATATTTTTAATATTTAACCTTTTAAAAATTATTTTACATTTTTAAATGGAGAAAGTAGCTATTAATAGATTAATAAGTAAAGTTCTTGCTTTAATAAGTATCAAAATTGTTTAAGTTCTTATTAAATATTAAATTTTTTTAAGGTAAGAGAAATAAACCAAATTTGATTGATTAAAAAATTCTTCCTCCACTCTTATTTATGAGATATGAAAAAAAAAATTGTCCTTTTTATATGTCAGTAATTTTTTATCATATTTTTTCCTTTTATCTTCCATTTTCACCTTGATTTACATGGATCATATTACAAAAAACTGTTATTATCAACAATTGTCTCATTCATAGGTATCTTGGCGATAAATTCAATACTTTTATTTAATGCCGCTCGCATATTTTTGAACTTGAATTAAAAACTTCAAGATAAGCAAATTCAACTCAATTAATAAAATCAAGAACCTCTCAATCAAAATACAATTAATTAGAAAGCATTTCAAAAGAGGTAAACATAAATTTCATGTGTAATTTAGATTTTATAATTATAAATGGCGGTAATAAAGGGCAAAAAGTGAGCGAACTGGAGAAAAAGAAGTTTCTAAGGAATCTCACCTTAAGAGTGTTTTTCTTTTAATTATTGTGGAGAGTAGCTAGAAATTCAGACTCTTCGATGTAAGAAAACATTTATCTTTTTTTTTTTTTTGTTCTATTTAAGGAAGCTATAGACATGGGTCAATGAGTTTGATTTGAAGTCTGAACTATTCATTTTGTTAAAATGATAACCATTCCTAGATGTTTATATTTTAGTGAACTTTATGAGTTAATACATACCCAACTTTAAAAAAATCTAGAAATGTGTATTTTTTATTGTTTATTATTTTATTTTTTTGACATGAAAATGAGAGATTCGTCATGGACATTGAGTGGAGTAACAAACTTAAAGCGGAGCATGACATGAGTACTGCCGTGTCACAATCAAACACATTGCTTTCATGCTGCTTTTTTTTTTTTTTTTGGTTTTATTTTCTTTCTTTTTTTTTTTTTTCATAGGTTCCTTATCATACACACACCCACATTATGTTTGTACATACGATATAAGTATAGACACAGACTATTTATGAGATAGAAAGAGTGTTTAAGTGGGCAAGAAAAATAGATTCAAGACATGAAATTTAAGTTTACAAAAATAGATGTACAAGAATATTAAATTACAGAATAAAAAATTTTACCCTCAAACTATATGTTATGAAGTGCTATGGATCATAAACTTGTTTTTTGTATAATATTTTTTTTTAATTTTTAAAAATAATATAATATTTTCCTTATCATTAACTAATGTAAACTTTGATTATTAATGACAGAAAATTATAAAAAAAGACATTAAAAATCATAGAAAAGATAAGAAAAACTTTTCTATAATTTTTTAGGTCTTTATCTGTAATTTTTCAAAATTTTTATATAATTTTTGATCTCTTTTTTTATAATTTTTTATCAATTAAAAGTCAAAATTAATTTTTATTAATATTAGGCATGATATTACGCTAGTTTTAAAAGTTAAAGGAAAACTTACATTAAAAATGAGTTTAAAATTCTAAATACTTATGAACCTAGCTATAATTTAAGGTTGAAGTTTCCTTTTAACCCAATATTAAAATACAAGACCAACAATATGATGAAGTAATTAAAAATGATTTGATTTCTTCTAAATAAAGTCAAGTGTATAGCTAGCAAAGATTATGTCTAGTAGAAAAAACTAATATATTACAATATAACGAATTAAGATTTGTGTCTTTGTCAAAAGAAATATTTATATTTAGTGCTTGATTATACTTTGAATATAAAAATACTTTCAATAGAAGGATATATGTTGATAACTAAAAAGGTCATGGGCATAATTTATAGAAAAAAATTGACTGGTAAATAGTATAGATGAAAAAAATCACTTGAGGAATATATAACCTTAATTTAGCAAAAGAAAAAATATTTGAATCTAACCTTACAATACCGGATATTATTATGAGGTAATATAAAAAATAATAATAATCCCAAATAGTATTATGACATTATTACCACAAGTGGTCAATGAAAGAAGAAAAAGGCAAAACTAAAGAATGAAATATGGAGAAGACACGAATGGACTTGACTTATTTAAGGTGCGAAATATCGTTGACCATCCAGAAGGTTGAGCTTAAGATTAGGGTTAAGGGTAACTTCTTCAAGGTACACAATTCTTAAATAAAATTGTATAATTTTTACTCAAAAAATTTTTTTAAAAATAATTAAATGAAAAATATTTTGAGGGAGTACTCTCCGCATCATGAAAGGGCGTGTTGTCATTAAACTCTATTAATTATTATAATCTCCACCATATTAATTTATCTTTCAAGAAAAAAGAAAAAATATTTTCTTGGCAGTGGATGCTAAATTATGAATTTTCTAAACCATAAATACTTAACTGTTAGTATAAGAAAATGAAAACATATTTTATAGTAGTAAAATGGGATAATATTGTATTTTGTAGAAAATAAAATAAACAAATATTTTGTTGTGCGAGTTATAGCATTAGAAAGTAACGATACTTTTTCTCTAGCTGTGGTATTAAAAATTATTGTCATATAAGCAATAATTGAAAAGCCCAAATGAATCTCACTTTTATGTCTTGTTCTCAGTAGTATTTCAAATCATGTAGGATCTATTAAGAACATAAAATAATAGTTATAAGATTTATTGAAGAAAGTGAAGAATAAAAAATAATTCAACTTGGAATTTGGAAATATAAAATAAAACAGTCCATTTACACAAGATTTGACACACCTCAAAACCCCACAAAAATGTTGCAATTAATGGACCTTGGTTCAATAAAAGAAAAATTAGCGTTCAAATTAATGTCTTGTGTTTCGTTCTTATCTTTTAGGGTGAAGAAGACCTCTTTGGGATTCCAAAGGGGCAAGAAAACAGAAAAAACACTTTGAAATTGGAGTTTCTCTTCATATTGTCATTGTGTTTTTTTAATAAAGAAATGTTATTATTTCTCTAAAATGTGACCATGTTCATTTATTTTCATTTCTTAGTCTATACAAGATACGATCAACCACTGAGAGATTTTCTCGCATGTTAGCCTCATTTATATGTTACATTTTTTATGTATTTATTTTTTTAATTATGATCATGCATGTGTGATTGGCTAGTTTAATACTACGCTTGCCGAGAAAAGTGAGGAAAATAACATTTTTTCTTATTTGACCAGGGAGAAAAAAGTGGGAAGGGAGAGAAAGTAGAAGGAAAGCAATATACAGGACCTACATATTTTTATTTTCAACTTTTATCTTCATATATGGAAAGATTTTAAAAATAAAATATTATTTTTAAATTTATCTACTAATTTTTAAATTTTATATTTATAGTGTAGGTATATTTTGATAATAAACTTTTATTAAACAAGTAGTATATTTAATTTTTAAATTAATTAGATAAATGATAATTCTAATTTTTCAATTAAGTTCCTCATATTTGATCATAGCTTCAAAATTTTAATATTTTTATATATTTAATAATTTAATAAATAAAATTATAAATTGGATAAAATAATTTATAATTATGTTTTTATACATTCAATAATATATGATTGAAATTATTATATATATATAAGATTAAAATATTAAATTTTATTATATATAAATATTTTTATAAAAATGAAGCTATTATTATTTATATAAAATTAACAATTTTTCTCTTCTTCTTATTTTCTCTAGCTTAGTCAACCTAAACCTTTAATTTTTTTTCAATTGGTTTAGACCAAAATCAAGGAAGAAACCTACTACTAATTTTATAGCAAATGACATGCGTAAATTATGCGTGAAAACACGTTCTAGCCATCCTAAAACGACATTTTGACCAAATTAAACAACCAAAACCAATCGATGTTGGATCAAAATAATAAAAAACAAATTAGTTGTTTCATTTAAAATGTCGTTTGGAGAAGCCAAAACTTGTGTTTTCAAACATGAAAATAGAGAAAAGAGATATTTTTCTCTCGAGTGGTCAAGCTCATGAAGAGATCATGAGCTTGTATAATTATAAACGAGAGACTTGTCACATAATTTTTACCATTAATTATGTATCTACTCTTAACTCTGATATTTCATATTAATTTAAATAATATTATATTCATATGAATATATAGAGTCGTGTAACAAATTATCATGGGTTGATTATGAGTAGGTTTGCCTATTAAGGGTGAACGGTGAACCTACCCAGTAGACTAATAACTTATAAATAATATAACTTATTATTTATTTTATGTCATATATACTGGCATTTCATTACGAACTAAAATTTTGTTGTATGAGAAAATAAAAGAATTTTAACCCAGTCAAATATATAATCTTCAACACAAGCCAAAGTTGTAACGAAGTTACAAATTTTAAAAATACAAAAAAAAAAAGTTACAAATTTAAAATCGAATTAAAATACAATTTTACTCCTAAATTATTTTAAGAAGAGTAATGTTACCTCTAAACTATTCATCATAGCAATGTCCTCCTAAACTAATTAAATCAAAACAATATTGT